CACCGACGCTCAATACACACTCACTCACATACATATGAAGCCTTACAAAACACCTTTCGGGACAACACTTAAATCATCTAACAAACTTTTAAATTAATCATTTTGAAATCAATAAATCATTTTATGAAAACATGAAATCCCCAAATGAAAACTAACTTAAGTCTTACCAGGATCTCCAATGAAGGAAGAAATAACAAAGCTTTTGCACGACTTTGGTTCCATATAGTCGTATCCCTTTTTAGTTTCATATTCTAAAATTTCCTAAAATTTTTGTACACATGATTAAGGATTTAATTTAAAGTAATAACCGAATGTAAGGTGGAATAAAATTTATCAAAATCGGTGTTTAATTCGGTATTTCTATCAGAAAGATTGCAGTTTCAGTCTCTCTCTTTGGTTCCCTAATTTTTAGCATTGCATGGATCTCTGAATGAATCTAGAACATCGCGTCGTGGTCTGCTTCACTGGAATCAAGTCCACCCAACACGTGCTTTGCTTCTTCTTCCTTAGCAACACGCGTTGTGCGCTCAGCACAACGGGTCAAACACCAAACGTCCCGCTCCGTGCTTCCAGCACCATGCATTGTGTGCCCAGCACCTCACATAGAAAACTGAGCACCCAGCACGGCATGTCACGCGTTGCGCATCGTGCCCCCAACATTGCACGCCACGAGTTCAGCACTGCACACCGTGCATTCAGCACCGTGCGTGATTTTACCTTTTCAACCGCGCGCACCACACACCTTACTTCATTCCTCCTTCTCCTTCTCTTTCCTCTTTTTTTTTTCCTGGTCTGGGCCTAGGCTCCCTTCTCTCACTTGGACCTGATTATTATAGAAGGTCTCCTGGTGTGGCGGCTCCACCGGTCCTTCTTTGTGACTGAAGTTCTTTTTCAGCTAACCTACACTAGAAAAGGACAGTGAATATGGTCGAAAAAAATCATATGAAATGAAAAATGAGAAGGGGGTCATCAGAGAAGATTTTGGGTTTTAGTCAAGGCAGCTCAACTAAGCTTTGTCCATGGTTTTCGACTCGCCGTTGACCTTTTTGCTTTGATATGAAAATAAGGAGACTCGGGATTGAATTTTGAGCTGGAAGCATTTTACCTTTTTTGGCGGTTGGTGATGGCTTCGGTGTGGCAGCAATGGTGTCCCTCTGACAATTAATCTTCCCTCCAGCTGCCTTTTTCTTCTTCTTCACCGGTCGGGTGTCAGCTAGGGTTTTAGTTGCTACGAATAGGAGTTTAAATACTCCTCTCCATTCGATCCAAACTGCTCGTTCGAGTCAACGTAGAGCAATGAGGACCGTTCGATGATTTTTTATTTTGGCCGAAGGCGTAAACGAATCTGGATCGTCTATCACGATCAAATTCGTCCGTCCGATTGCGTCTAAAAGGAGAATGCATTTGAGCTGTTCGTGCGCGTGGGATCTGATCTGGGCTGTCGAATCATCCAGGCATGCGAATTGCCCATGTGGCCTCCTGCGTAGAGCTGATATCAGTGTGCTCACCACGCAGCGTGTCCTGGTTCGCCGTGGCTGCTGACAGACCATCCCACGTGGCCAATCTTTTCTTTTTATGATTTTATCCTATTTTTTCAAATTTTCTTTCAAAAACACCCCACATATTCACATTTTTGCCCCTTTTCCTCAGAATTATTTTTAATTTTGTCCCTAATTCATTTTTTTCTCCAAAAATTTAGCAAAATCAAATGAAAATGAATTATAATTATATATATATATATATATATTCTATAAGTTGAAAAAAATTATCTCATGTAAAATTCCGAACCCCAGTGTTACAGTATAAATGAAAATGAAGAATTAATATTCAAAGTTGAGACCTTCAAAGAAGCTCTTCCTAAAAGACTTCATGAGAACAAATAGAAATATAATACCCTAAAAGACTTTAATGATAAATTCTACCATTTAAAAAAGTAATAATTACTTATTTTTTCTTAAAAATTTAGGAGACTACATTTTTTATGATTATAACATTATCAAATCAAAAAATAGCACAATCAATGAAGGTAAACAACTTATAGGTGTCATTGATCATTATAAAACAAAAGAACTAAAAATAAGAGTTGATACCTTTAGAGAAACTTTTCTTAAAGTACCACTGAAAGAAAAAATAAATATAACATATAAGAGGACTTTGAGGATGAAATTATTACGAGTAAATGGAACTGTCTTCACAAATTCCATAAGGTCATTATTGATGAAGAAAAATATAAGCTTCATAATAAATTTAAAGACAAAAAGCTTTTATTGTTAAACTTATAAGAAAAATTTTAAACTACAAGGTTCTGATTGCGAAAATAAAAATTTTCTTAGTATAAAGAGAGAAATGAGCATGATAAAAGATTAACAATGACCTCTATGAAAAAAAATTTGACTATATGTAGATCTCCTTAAAGTACTAAAGTTCATGGGTAGTTCATAACCACGATCTCCACGTATGAAAATGGAAATTAAATTTTTAACTAAAATCTATACACATCAAAATTGTAGTAGTTTGGTCTAAATTTCCTTTTTTTTTCATTTAATACTATGAGAAAGACTCCCTCAAGTAAGAGAGTAAATACACTATGTGGTTGAGAATGTTTAATATGGAAAAATCTTTTATTCGAAAGTGCGATTAGTTCAAATGAATTTCCAACTAGATAAATGTGATTAAGCTTAGTCAATCTATTACATAATGATGGGTAACATGAGGTTTGCCAGAATATTCATACCTAATATCTATTTGTAACATGGTATAATGAAAGAAGCTCATTACATGATAATTATTTTATGAAGTTCGTAATCTTATAAGATGAACAATTACCATTCTTCTGCTATGAATATATTACTAGCATTACCTATGGATTTAATATACATGCAGAGTTGCATTCATATTAGATAATGAGTCTAAATTGTCACACACATATAAGAAGAATATTCATCGAGTACTTACGAGAAAAATAAATAATATTTTTCACATGTGAATAATGGAGATATATAAATCGTAAATTGTTTAAATTAATTATGTAATTGTTAATTGGAATATTGTTGGATATTTTATTAATTTAGAGAAATAAAATAAAATGAAATGATTATTTCTTAAATAATCAACACTAGTTTAGAAAACTTATCAAAGAGTAAAATTGGAAAAGCATGAAAAGGAAAAGGTGAAGGAGGAAAAAAAAAAGAAAGTTTAGCAATTAACAAGAAATCATTTATGGAAAATTAGGTGCAATATCAAAGGACACTGAAGCAAAAGAAGGAAAAAAAAACAAATGACACTAGAAACATATAGTAAATGCTTTAAAACAAAGTAAAATATGAAAATCTTGATTGAAACTACCATGCTTAGAATTCAAGTTATATGAACGATATGTTACCACTTTTGTTATTTATTGAGAATACTATAATTTTAGAGAACCTTGGCCTTCAATTTAGGTCTTGATGCCAACATTTTATAAGTAGCTTAACAAATTTAGGATGCATGCATTTAGAGAATCACAGACCGTAGTCCCTGCTTGCAGTATAATATAAAATGAAGTATTTAACAAAAGGATTATATAGATGTTCACAAATTTATGTTATCGCAAAGAAAAAGTAGTACCTTTTATACCTCACCTACCACAACTTATAAAGGCTTTAAGTATCAACCACGTAAACAAGATAAATAAGAAAACATTACCATAAATGAATATTGAAGGATAAAGATAAACAAAATTGACAAAAGATAGGGGAAGTGGGGAAACTTAGATTAACAAGGCTTACTTATTGTACCAAAAGTTTTTGTAGTGTCATTATATTGTTTAAAAGCTCAAAACATTTGCCTCGTGATCACATAACTTGTGTGCAATAATTATTACGATAAAATTAACAATTCTCGATGGTTCTATTGAAAAGCATAAAAAATACATAAATAAATGCAAAAAATATATATATATTGAGAATTGCTAATTAACCAGAATATGGTATGTAGAAAAAGGCAAATAAAGTGTTTATTAAGACAAATAAATACAATGTCCCATTTGCAATTCCATGGGATGCATGTAGGGACTACAATTCAAAATGTGGTGTATAGGATATAACCTATAATAATAAAAATATAATATATGATAGCATTTGGTACATTTAAAAAACGAACATGATATCAAAAAATAATAATTGAATAAAGAAAATGAAGTGTTTGGTAGGTACAAATTTGGATAGAGCAACACAAAGTATAATTACTTTAATACCCTTGTTCTCATTAAGAATTTTGATTTAACTGAAATTGATTTAATTACAAAAAAAGTTGCTAATTAATTAATAATTAACAATATTTAAGTTTTGTCATTTAATAATTTGGGGAGAAAAGGTCAATTATGGAGTCGGCAGTCTGGTGGGAAATGACCAGTCGGTCGCGCCGACGTTAAACCCTCACGGGTCATACCTTATTGCCCCAAAAAGTAAGAACCAAATTGGAAACCTGTTTCCACCAACCCAGTTTTGGTTTATTTTCCTCTTTAGGAATATTTAAACCCAAAAAAAAAAAAAAACCAAAACTTAAATAATTAACTCCGTAATGAAATTACCAACTATTTCCTTAAGAAATTGTAATATAATTAATATATATATATATATATATATTTCTGTGTGTAAACTAATTAATATCATATCTATTAAGAAAGCTCTACGAGATCATTACAATTGATTCTGACTAAAATATTTTACTTCTATGTCTAATTTATTTTTTGATACGAATAAAATGGCGTCTAGTACGCTGAATGGCGGAGGCGAGGGAACCACCATATAAATATATATATATATATGTACACACACACACACACACACAAAAACGTGGGAATTAACCATTATATATTTGCAGTAGAAAGTAGAAATGTCTAGTACGAAAAAAGCAAGAAATCCAATCCCATGAATGTAACCCACATGGGGCACTTTTGATTTTGACAAGTTAAAAAGTGTATATAATATATATATATATATAGTTAAAAAATGGTTGGTTAGCATAGCCGTCACCAAGTGTACAAGAATTAAATTAAACTATCTAGAGAGTCGTGTGATCTGGTGTCAGCCCATGAAGTTTGAGAATTTTTAACATCGTCATCTTCCACTGTCTGATCTGCTACCTCATCCTCATTGTCGTCATCATGATGATGATGATCAGTAGGTATGGTTCGAGTCATGAGCTGTTTGGCTCTCTCTGTCTCAAACTCCCAATCGGTTCGAATCAAAACCACCAACATGGTCACAACACATGATCCTTGGGCGGCTAACAAACCAAACCACAACCCTCTAAAATCAAACCCACCATACAAACTTAGCCATATCGCAACTGGCATACCCACCACGTAAAAGCAAATCAAGTTGATGTTTGCTCCCATTTTAGGTCTTGCTATGCCTCTCAGCACCCCACATCCTGTCGTTTGTGGGCAATTTCCAAGTTCGCAAAGTCCGATTATGGGTAAAACCATTGACGTCAAAGCAATAATCTCTTTATCTTGGGTAAAAATGGTGACCCAGATCTTCCTCACCATTACTGTGAATAACAATGCTGAGAATCCAATAATAAAGCTTGAAGATACACCAACTATGGCTGCAAGTTTGGCTTTGTTTGGATTGTTGGCGCCTATTTCATTCCCTACTCTTGTTGATACACCAAAGCTTAGAGAAGATGGGAAAATGTATATCAAAGCTGTGGTTTGAATCAGAATTCCCATTGACGCAACTGTTGCTCGAGGATTTATCAAGAACCCACAAAGCAAAATCATGATTTCATACCACCACCATTCGAGACAAACCGAAATGCAGCTAGGAATAGCTAAATTCAAGAAAGATTTCCACCCTTTGAGGCATTCAACAGAGATCCCTCCCCATGTTTTCTTATACACACCAGAGATGATAATGTAAAGTATTAAAGATCCTACGAGATTGAAATTAGTCCAAACTGCTCCCAAAGCGACGCCTTTGATTCCCAGGTTTAGAACATAGACTAGAAAATAGGTAACGGGAATATGGAGAAGCAGAGCAAGAGATGCCGAGAAGGTCAAAGGAAGTGTAATGGACTGAGCTCTGAGATAAATGCGAAGAGGGTGTAAAATAGACTGTGCAATGAGGTCAGGGAGAGAGCAAAAAATATAGAGCTGAGCTTGACTTGTGATGTCTTCTTGTTGACCGGAGAAAAGGAGGATCCTTTTCATGTTGATCCATAGAAAGGAAATGGGGAGGGAAGTGAGGAGAAGCAGAAGAATAGTTTTTTGCATGGTGAGACCAAGAAGCTTGAACCTTTTTGCACCAAAAGCTTGACCGCAGATGGGTTCCATTCCCATGGCGAGACCGGAGAGAAGAGAGTAACCGGTGATGTTAGCAAATCCGATAGCGAGGGATCCGCCGGCGAGAGCGAGGTCGCCGAGACGGCCGAGAAAAAGCATGGAGATAATGGAGCGGGAGTAGAGAAGAAGACCTGTTAAGATCATAGGAAAAGCTATGTTGGATATAGATATGGCTTCCTTGATTGGAAGAAAGAGATGGGTTTTCTGATTTTGTGATGTTGGAGTTCTGGGGAGAAAGGGAGTAAACATGTCGGCTTGGAAGAAGAAGATGAGAAGCAGAGAGAGGAGAAGGACGTAGAGAGAGAAAGCGTTTTGGGTGAGGTTAATTAAGCCAAGGGATTTGGAAACTCACATATGAGATTTAAAGAGCGAGGGGAGTCTTTTTGTTTTTTTCTCCGGGTTACAGTGTTTTTGACCTTTCAAGATTTAATACGTGTATATATATATATATATATATGCATACATACTTGCGAGGCTTTTCTTTTCAAAGTTGATCGCACGTGTATGAAACCAACATTTAAAATGTTTCTTTAAAAGACATCATATAAGGAAAGTAAAATGTTTTAGCTGGATAATATATATATATATATATTTTTTTTTTATATATATAAAAAATTAATAATTTTATTATAAATATATATTTTGATTTTTGAATAATATGCATGTAGAGCTGACCAGATGTCGTGCAGTCATTTGTGGCTTAATTTGTTGAATATTCATTAACCTGCGCTGATTGTGCAAATTTTTAATTAAAAATTAATTAATTAATTAAATAGCACGTTTCTTCTTTCATTGTGCTTTTAAAACCATATTTAAAATGGGAATTCAGTTTTTTTATATTTCGTCATTCCCATTCCAAAACCAACAAGTTTCTTTTGTTGACTGGAATTATTAAAAAAAATAAAATAAAATTAGTTATCAAAATAACCTTCCACGATTCCAGGATTATAACCAGATTTAGAAGATCTAATTCATCCAACGGCTAAGACAGAGGAACATTGCTGCATCGGGTCGCACCAGATCCCTCCCCTCCTTCTTCATCTGTGAAAATTAAATTAATGGGCTCTGGGTTGGTATTGGGGCCGGCAGAGATAAAGCCCTAATTGGAGTTAGTACGATTGTGTCTCACCTTAATTGAAAGTATTAAGTCCAAAAAGTAGGAGATTATCTTAAAAATTAAATCAAAAGTCAATGATTAATTACGGAATTTTTAATGTAAATTCATACCACGAACACATTATTAGGTTTTAAATTTATCACGTAAGTTTATATGTATAAATTATTGTGCATCAAAAACTATCAAATTAATTAGACCCGGTTAAAAGTGATATGATATGGTTAAGAATATATTGGATCTTAACGTATCAAATTAAAGTGTGAGCTTTATTTTTATGTGCAGAGATCATATTTATAATTTCTAATTTTATAATGAGTCAAATTAGAAATAAAAAAAATTAACAGACATGTTTGTCCATAAATATAGGGTTGTGGTCCTCAAATTGTACGTTAGATTTTTTTATTCTAACATCTTGTCACCAGAAATAAAAAAAAAAAAAAGACAAAGAACTTCAAATGACTGCGTATTAATTTAGAAGATCTATTGCACGACGTGCATATTTTTTTTGTTATGAATTCAGGTACGTTTCCGTTTTAAATTTAATTTTTTTTTATTTGACATGAGTATGATTGTTTTGATTAAAATTTATTTCATGAAATTCCTACACACATATTACACTGATCATAGTACAATATATTAAAATATACACGTTTAATTTGAACCCTAATAATGAGAGAAATACCAATCATGTAGTTATATTTTTGATCTTGATCTTTTTTTTTTTAATTTTTATAAAAGGTTATTATCGTTTTTATTTAATAAATTAATTATTTTAATTAATTTATTAAAAAATAAAATAATATTATTTTTAATATTTATTTATTATTTTTGTAAACG